GGTGTAGGGGAGAGGCCTTCTCCAGCACAGCCCTCAGCCTGCATCTCTCTGTGTGCCCAGGCTGGGGCCACCAAGGCAACAGATCTCACATTACAGGACTCTTTGTTTGCATGTTTCCCAAATGGCACTCCCACACAGTGCCAAGGTGGCAGTCTGGAGGAATTTCTAGCCTCAGTCGCTCCCACTCCCAGGAGTCACCTTGTAGAGGTCAAGTCACCAGCACAGACTCCTCTTCTCTCACTGTGTGCTTCCGCTGAGTGGCCCTGGGTGCTTTTTCCTGCTGGCTAACCTCACCTGAGGCCATTTCAATTTGTCAGGCAAGTTTTCATAATGAGCGAAAGCAAAAGAGGAAGGATGAGGTCTTGACAGCTCACTCCCTGGCAGCTGCAGGCCCCTCTGCAAAGTGTGCCACCTTCCCCAGCTGCTGGAGGTATCACAGATCGAGGATGGCACACGGGCTGGGCTGGGCCAAGCCCCCTCCTCCACCAAAACGTCTTCAGACACCCATCCTTTGGCATGATGACCTTTCCTCACCTTACATCTGCTTTGCTTAGGCAGCCTACTCAAACGTTCACCCCAGAATAGAGGAGATTTGAGCATTCCACTTCTAGAAATAGAAATGGCCAGCAACTTTTAAATGACAGTTTGGTGGCAGCAAAATTCTGCTGTAACTGTTACACTGTGATAGAGGAATATCACTGCATCAGTCACTCTGTGCTTCGTGCTCTCAGACATTTTCCCAGACATCTCTGTTCCTGAGCTGTGCACGGTGCATTGCTTATGCCCATGCCCATCTCTCCCCTCCTCCCTCCGCAGGTCTAAAAGGCATGTGTATTAGCTTCCATCTTTATGTTTCCAGCTGGGTCTGGCGCATGGTAGATCCTGAGGAGTGCCTGCCCTATTGAATTTCATGATAGGAAACAGACACTTTTCCAAATTTTATTTATGAAATTGCTATATACCATGTGTATTAATCAGCTTTTGTGTTTCCAACTCAGGGGCTTATCACCGCAAACATGGACTTATTCCTGTTACATGTGGCTGTGGCCCTGACTCCACAGCCTGTCTTCCTGCTCACCAGGCTGAGAGACATGAACTGGGATGGACCTTCCTGGGGCTAAGCAAGATGTTCTGCATGGATGGGGCAGATGTCACTCTCACATTCCAACAACAAGCCAATGGTGCTTGGGGTTGTGGTGTGGCCTGTAAGGAGCACTGCCAGTCATACCACAGGGGCAGGTGTGTGTGTGCAGGGGAAGAAGTAAAAAGTTGCAAACAAAACAGACAGTTGTTTTTTTTCTTTTAATTTTTTAACAATATAGTTAAGAGCATTGATTTATTTTCCAAATCATAGATTTAAAAACGATTTACATTTCATCATTATCAAAATAAATTCTTATGCATTCATTAGGATAAGACAAATATCTGAAGGTGAAACTTCCCCTCTGCCCTGACTTCTTTCTGGAACATTCTCTAGTCATGGGGCAAGAAAGTAGAACCAAAGTAACTTCCAGCTCCTCCTGTGTTGCCTGGTTTGAGAGGCCTAGGGTTTCTTGCTTGCTTCAGATCAGAACATCCTCAACTTGGCTCACCTACCAAGAGGTGAGCTCATTTTGCTTACATAGGTGAGCTGCTCCAACTTCCTTTCTTGGCAAATAGCATCTAAAAGCTTTGATTAGGAGGCAAATTGATTTAGGAGTTCCTGCATGCCAAACGGGACAGCTTGAGCATTGACAAAGGATGTCTGCAAAGGACTGAAAGTCTCAGATAGGGTTAAATCTGTGACTACATAATAGTAAACTAAAAAGGAAAAGAAAAAGGCTTCTGGCAGAGACTGGGATGAGAGCTGTGGACTGTGAGCTGTGACCTAATGACATCCTTACTTAGACACTTCATCGCTTCATCTCCACAGGCCTGTGTGCCCACAGATCTCGGCCTCCCCAGACTATTGATCAATGACTATTTGGGTCGACTCAGTAGTCTCCCAAATGTGCCACATGCTCCAACCTTTTCGGCTCAAGGCCAGCATTATCTCTGTGACTAATGCAGAATTTTCAAGCTTGGCATGATAGCAACTCTTAAAATAAGACCTTATCACCTCTGCTAGTTGTAATTTCCAGCTTATTTATTTGTTTACTTTACTGTTTTAATAATAGACCTAAACCCTATGTCTGCTAAAAAGTGAGGCGCTGGAAGGTAGTTTGGAAAATGTTTTTTTCAACCCATCTAAAGTCTTCCTTGTCTAAGGCCTCTTTGCTTGATAATTTAGATACTGAGATTCACAGGCCAGATGTGTGACTTTGAAAGCAGGAGCCTGTCACTACTGTTTGGAGGCTCCTTCTCTGTCCTGAGTATGCTCACTTCAGGGTCCCCACCCATGGATTTTCCTTCCCTGTAACCCTCAAGGGACTTTTGTTGTACAGTTTCCTTCCCATTCTCCCTAGGTGTCTCTCCTGGATCTCCCCATGCTGATTTTTGGAACAGGGCAATTCTGCAGCCAACAGATTTATGATAAAGGCCTTAGGAAAATGGACAGGGGTGGGGAGTGTCAGACTAGACAGGAGGCTTTGGAGGCTCTGACCCGCCCCCCTGGGCTTCCTCCTTGGCTGATTCTGCAGACAGTCCGCAGGGTTCCCACAGTCCCTGTTTGTCCGCCTCTCCTGTGGAGGAACTCACTCTCTGTCACTCTTTCTCATAATCACCACTTCCAACTTCCCCCTTTTCTTGGAAAGATCAAACAGGGGCATATATATATATGTTTAGATGGTGGCTGCGATTATGCACATGCTGTTCCCTCCCCCTCCTCTCTCCACAGGTCTAAAGGGCATGGGTGTTAGCATCCATCTTTATGTTTCCAACCTGGTCTGGATAATATAAAATATATATTTTATAATATATATATATATATAGATTTTAACTCATCATAGACGATACATATTTTATAAACAAAACTTTTAAAAAATTCTTTTATAGTGGGATGTGGTCTGAGAAACAACTGCAAACAATGAGGCTTGATACATACATTTTTTCCAGAGGCTTACAACAGACATTGATTATAGACTAGATCAGGGTAATTGAGTGGAAGGCTTCAGGTAGACTGGGCTTAACCAGGGCTTGATATTTACTAGATTTCAAAGTTAGGGTGTGTGGTTGTCAAAGATAAATCATAAAGCAGAATGTGCCCTGCGCGATGGAGAAGGGGATCATCAGGTGCAACCAAAGCTTACAGAGGGTCCTTCCTGCTGCCCGTGTCTCTACGGCCTGGGGAAGCCTTCAGAGGTAAGCACTGGTGGGAGAGGGCGCCCCACTTCCTGCTGAAAGAGTGAGGGCCTCGCCCACTTTTGTCTGTGTTGGGGCTCAGCCTCCTTCTCCTCCTGGCCCTGTCCCACCATCACCCCTCCCACTGTCCATCTTGTGCCTGCAGCATGGTCCTCTCCACTGCCAGCTGGGCCCTTGATTACCAGAGATTGATTGAATCAGAGACTGAATGAAGACATGGTGAAGACTGGAAACGGAGTGCTGGCACGGGGCAATGAGGTATTTTCCAGGCACATAAATGAGAGTGCTGGTGACTCCAAGTCTCTACTCACAGTTGATGTGAAATGTTCCCTGAGTGTAGGTTGGACATATAAGAAGTGATCTAAGTCTATCTTGACACACACAGCCCTGAGGTTCTTAGGCAACCACTTTACAGGTCTCTATTACTTAACAAACCTCAAGCCTTGTTATTAAATGCAGATTGTTATCTACCTTTAAAAATAACAAGCAAACTGCTACTCATTTTACAAGCCAGCCGAGACTTCCTGCTCCCCAGTGGAAGGGGTGTATGTTGAGGTGGCTCGATCCGCTGTCTCCCCGTAGAGAACCGGGCATTGTTTGCAGAGGTGTTTGGCGATGTACTTTCGGAAAAATACCGAGAGATACCTCCTGAACTTCTCCCCGACAAAGGCGTAGATGATGGGGTTGATGCAGCAGTGCGTCATCCCGAGGGTCTCTGTCACCTGCATGGCTCGGTCCAGTCCAATGATGCTCTCACAGTTACTCAGGCCGAAGAATCCCTGGAAGGTGCTTAAGAGGACAACGATGTTGTAGGGGGTCCAGAAGAGGAAGTAGACGAGCATGATGGCGAAGATGAGCCTCACGGCCTTGTGCCTCTTCTTCTCATTTCGACACCGAAGCAGGGTTTTCAGGATTCCCGAGTAGCAGATGACCATGACGAGCAGGGGCAGGACCAGCCCCAAGACGTTTCTCATTATTGTATAAAAATTCTTCCACTCTAGTGGAAAGTAAGGCCCACAGAGGTAGTGAGAATCTTCTTCATGGAATTTAGTAAAAATGATTCCTGGGACAGAGGCTAACACAGCCACCATCCAGGTGACCCCACTTGTCACCACCCCAAAGGTGACTGTCCTGGCTTTTAAAGCAAACACAGCATGGACGATAGCCAGGTACCTATCAATTGTTAGGAGAATGATGAAGAAGATTCCACCAAAATAGCCGATTTGATACAGCCCGGCAAATAATTTACACATCGTATTTCCCAGTACCCACCCATTTGCAGCGTAGTGAGCCCAGAAAGGGACGGTGAGAAGGAAAAGCAGGTCGGAGATGGCCAGGTTGAGCAGGTAGATGTCAGTCAGGCTCCTGAGCTTTTTGCAGTTTATCAGAACGAGGACGACCAGCATGTTGCCCACTAGACCGAAGATGAACACCAGCGAGTAGAGCGGAGGCAGGAGCTGGGCTCCGAGTTGCTTCACGCTGGGTTTGTGACAGGGTGCGCCATCACTGTAGTCATAAGTGGTTGTGGTTTCTCCACTGTCCATGTCGAAATCTCTTGGAAACAGAGAATGGGATGCGGACGACATGCTGTGGATTGAGCAGATGTGTCCTTGTCATCCACTTTCCCCTGTTCTGTAAACAGAGAATAAAATGCTAATCACACCACAGAAATGCCACAATCCCCAGTCTCCACAACAGCCTTGCTCCCCTGAAGCATGCGTGCTTGTTCGTTACTTCCTTTTCATTCCTGGTAGCAGACACCACTGATCTACCCAGCCACCCACTTTCCAATTCTCTGGTCTTCCCAGTGGGCATAATTCTCCTTATAATACTAAAATGCCAGATGCCCACTTTCTCTACCTGCTCTACAGCTGGTGCTTAGCCTGTGGCTCATTCCTGGACAGTCCTTTGTGAAGGCTGTCTGCTAGAGGCTTCTGAGAAGGCTTCTTCCCTGATCCGAGACACACAGGAGCACCCTTGCCTCCCTGCTGCATTCACAGCTTCTCTTGTGAGGCTTGGAGCTTGGGACTGGGGTAGAAGATCCAGAGAGTCAGAGGGAAGCCCAGGATCACGAAGTCTCAAGCCTACTCCCAAACAGCTCATCTTAGGACTTCTTGTTGAGAAAAGTAAGCCCCTGGATTAAGCCATCATCAACTCCATCTTCTGTTACCTGAAACCCAAAGCATTCTAACTGAAAACCTTCACAACTCTGGTTCCATCCTCTTGCCCCAAATCCTTTTCTCAAAGTTGCAGTGATGACCCAGTTTTCAAACACCCTGGTTTTGTTCCAGTTTCTTCCTTGTTGAGGGTGTGATCCTTCTGCTAACTTCCTCCACTTCAAGCTCTTTCTGCTTCCAGGAGGCGGCTCCTGTCTGACCACCTATTAGCTCTTTGTTGCCATCTCCTCTCCCTGCCCAGGCGTTAGGAGTCCCCGGGCACCACACTTGGCTCTCAGCACTTTTATCCTTTGCCTCTTCATTCTTGCTGCAACGTTTTTTCCTGAATGTGGTTGTCTAACCTCAGGGTTCTAACTCCCCTGGGTGCTAATGCTTCCCTTTCATTCCTGTCCTTAAGTTCCCCATTTCTCTAAGCCTGAGCATTGAGGTTTTGATTGCTACTACATATCTCTCCATGGATTTATCCACTTAGCCAATACTTACTTACAGAGCACCCACTAGGAGCCACACTCAGTTTTAGGTGCTGAAAACACAGTGAGAAAAGTGGGTATCTTGCAGGTCCCTCAAATTCAACCCACCCCAAACCGAGCACTACCTGGCACATGCTCCGGATCATGGGATTCCTTATCTTGGTTATTGCCACTTATTCCACTGCCCAAGAAGCTGATTTAGCATCATCTTGGGTCCATTCATGTTCATAAAATTAGGTGCTAATCTTTGGAGCCAAATAGACCTGAATGTGAATCCTGCCTCCAACTTATAGGCTATGTAATTTCACGTGTTAAATATTAACTATGCTGAGTGGCTGTGAAGATCTATGGAGATAAAGACTCAGAGCAGCATCTGGTGCAGAGAACTGCTCAGTGTCATCATGTCATGTGAGTTCTACCTCCCAAATGGCCCTCAGCTCCATCCTCTCTGCTCCTATGCACCCCACTTCTCGATTGGTTGTGGTCTTTCCTTTGCTCCCAGTTTGCCCCCGGCCATATTCCTCCTCAGTCTGTCTTTGCTTAAGTTGAAATTGGATCATGCACATCTCAGCTTAAAATTTCCAGTAGCCCTGTGACGTATGAGCGTGGGACCTCAAAGATAAGGTCCGGCCGGATTGGCAGCTTGCTGCTTCTCAGCCTCATGGCCAAGCACATCTCCAATCTCCAGTCCTGGGCTTCAGACACAGCCCTCCTCTCTGCACCTCCCCAAACTCTCCCTGTCCTTCACGTGGTTCTGCATGGCCTTGTGCTTCTACCTTCCAAAATGGCTAGTGAGCTCTTATTCATCCTTCAATTCCTCCTGCTCAAATTCCCCTTCTCTGTGAATCTCATTTGCATCCTCTGTCCCATTACTCTACCTCACAACACTGCATGCATTTAGACATTTAAATAAATCATCATGCTTTCTTCTACAATTTGCACGCTCCTCCAGGGCAAGGCTTGGATTGTGTTTCTATTTCCACCTCTTATGGTAGGCCCTGGCTGAAGGAGGTGCCACTAAATTCTCACTGAAAGGGTATTTCAAACACTTTCTAATCATGAGAAGTAGAAGACCTAATGATTCCCAAGAAAGTTTTTCACTGGTAGTGACTGAATTTGTTTCCATCCATCTTAAACACCTTATTCTTCTATTTCTCTCACGGTTAACCCTTTTCACAGCTCTTACATTTCAAGTCATTGAGCCAGTTTCTTGAAATCTGCAGAAATTAAATAAGACCTCCGATCAAAGTTAGGGAAAAAAATGCATCTGCCCAAAGAATGACAGCTGTGGTCATTACCGGAGTGCTCCTGAAGCTGCAGGCGCTGTGCCAAACGCCTGCACTCAGTCATTGAGTTTTTCTAACAATAAGCTAACTCCTGGTTCCCACTACAGCAAACAATTAGCAAGGTGGCTGAAAAGGACTGACCTAGGTATCATTTGAAATGTCGAGAAGTTTGATCCAGAACCAATAGAAAGCTGCCTCTCAGAAAAATAAAATCCTCATTTCTGCCTCTGTGGACCTCCTGAGTTGAGACAATAGGTGCATTTTAGTTCATGGGGCTGCATATGGATTAGAGGGCAATAATTTCAAGGTAGAAAGTTCCAGCCCTTTAAAGTCCTTGGGTGCTCAGAGAGGCAAAGCCCTTGGGGGTCTGGAGGGTAAGTGGGGAGAGTGGCTGCTCCTGCAGTATTTGCTGCCCACGCTCTCCTGCCACCTGAGACCCGAGGGAGCTCTCACCTGCACTTCCTCCCTCTCCTCAAGGTCTCTCTACTATCTCCCAGTGCACACACCACCCTCCACTCCTTTCTCCCTTCTTGATCATTTCCCCCAAGGGCTTTCCCCCTCAGGCTGTGCCCCGTGCATGCATTTCAAGCTTTGAGAGACTTTCTGCCTATGAATCATAAAGTGATGGAAAAAGCACCCACAACTCACCAGCAGATGGCTTCTTCCAGGAGGCACCGGTGTGTCAGATTGCCCAGCACTGAACCAAACAGATCTAGAGGTAGAGATTTTGTGTGCAGAAGTAGGAAATAAAGTTTCTTGCAGAAAAAGAAGGCGGAGATACAAAGGCAAGCAACGCTAAAGAGTTGAAAAAAAAAAAAATAAGAAAAGTATAGTTCTTCTTTTCCAGCCAGGAACGTTTACACTGGGTTGAGGTCTCCAGAGTAGGATTAATTTTGAAATCGTGCTTATGCAACCTTGAGGAATGAGTCAGGCAAACCTTATACATCTGTTTCTGTAGCTAACGGCTCTGAGCCTCTTTATCTTATGGGCGTCTATATCTGGAACTCTTCCTCTCTCTGCCCTCCTCCTAGTGATAATTTGCATGATACTAACAGAACTGTTCTTTTTCCAGGGGGTAAATGCTGGTGGGGTTGTTGCTGATAGTGGAGGAAATATAATGACCGTGTATACTGGTTTCAGTGGTACTGTGGACTTAGAGTCTGGTTAAAAATTTTTGTTTAGGGGAAACTTAAAAAAATGTTAAAGCAATTGTTAACTGTCACATGTTAATTGTATATAGTTATGGAATATGATGCGATGTCTTGCAAATGAGATGTTTTTGCGTCATTTGCAGCAGCATGGATGAACCTGGAGGACTCACAGTGACTGCTGCAAATACTATACAATGTATTAGTCAGATCAGAGGAATTAGCATAGCCATCACCTCATTGATCATTTCTTTGTAGTGAGAACACTGGAAATCCTCTTTTCTAGTTATTTTGATATACGCACATGCAACACATCATTTAGCACGGTCCCACTATTGTGTGACAGAGCCCCAGAACTTATTCCTCCTGTCTAGTCATTACTTTGCCCCTGTTGACCACCTCTCCCCACCCCCTCCCCCACTTCCCTGAATCTCTAGTGACCTCTGTTCTACTCTCTACTTCTATGTTCTTTGAGACCAACAGTTTTAGGTCCCAGGTAGGGGGGAAATCAAGCCCTTTGTGTCTTTCTGTGTCTGACTTGGTTCACTTAACACCATGTCCTCCAGGTTCATCCATGCTGCTGTAAATGAGGGGTTTCCAAACTTTTTAGTGACAAGGGAATGCTAAGTGGTCTCTTGCAGGAAGGCCCTTAGCAAGAAGGGCCTCAGGCATTATAGGTCCCACTGCTTGGAAAGAAGTTTTGTTAAAAGAAACAGAAATTCTGCAATGTAGGCGTTATACTTAGGAACATTCTATGGTCCCACAGAAAATGTAGGGTCATCTAAGTGGGCCCCTGGCACTTTCTGGAATTCAAAAGACCCTGGAGTCAAGATCTTATGCTGTGGCCTTGCCAAATTTCTAAGCTTCCACTTCTCTAACTATAAAATACGAATGATAAGATCTGGGGTCTGTGAAGGTTAAATGGACACAAAGTAGCAAGTGCAGTGTCTGGCAGGTAGCAGGCACTTGACAGATGACAAATAATAGCCCCTGAGCCAAGTTGAGAGCTGAAGGCTGAAGGAGGCAGCCACTACTGGACCTAACAATTAAATGCCCAGTGCAACACACGTGTCCTTTCTAGATTTCCATGAGTTGGAACGATTTGTCCTATATAAGACCTGGGTTTTTTTGTTTGTTTGTTTTTGGTTTTGGATAGGGCTGGATTGGAACCCACCACCTCCAGCATATGGGACCGGCATCCTACTCCTTGAGCCACAGGCACTGCCCAAGACCTGGTTTTTATGCTAAGAAGGGCCTCAGGTTTTTCCTTAGGAAATGGCTCCTTGCTTGTTCAGGAACAGGACAAGTTCTTCAGTTGTCCCCTAATGTGTCTCTGAACAATGATCAAAAGGGTCTCTCTGAGTTTTCAGTAACAAGACAGGTCATCCCCACCCCAGTGACACGAGCCCACTGCCGCTTCTGGAATCTCCTGACCCTGGCCTCTCACCACCAGTTCTTTTGATTCAACATAGGATGGG